TTAAGACTATGTATTGTATATAGTGATTTTAAATAATAAAAAAGATTCCATGAGGGTAATGGAATAAGCTAAATACATTCTAAATTGAAAATAAATGTTCCAAAAAGAAGCTGCAATGAAATGAATCAGCATTTTATACACATAAATTTGACATATTAACTGTAATTATTCATAATGTGCTAACATTAAATTATTCTTTAAATTTTTTGGTAGATAGGAATGGTTATTTAAAAACATTCAGAAGTTGGAATAAAGTTTAATTAGAGATTATTTTTCATGTTTTAAAAACTATATGATTAAGCAATATTGCCTTCTAATTTAAACTAAATTTGGAGAAAGGGTGAAGAGGATATACAATGACATTTTCAATGAGTGACAGGCTTGTCTTGATGTGTTGCTGTGCTGTGAGTCCTTGCTTTGGGAATCTTATAGGTGAAAATAATTTTTCCATGATTATTTTATCAGCTGAGTAACTTGATTCCATTAGATATAATGCAAAAATTAACCTATCATCTTTCTATCCCATTCTAATACTCAATCCAAACTTTATCATTACAAAACTGTATGTCCTTGGTTCTTTGGTTATTTAACCTCTACAGGTCTTCTTTCAACAAATATTTTAAAACTACATACAATTCCAGTCCTCAGGGAGCATACGAGGAAATCAGTGGGCCAGGTACAGGAACATCTGTGAAATAAGGCAGAGGAATGTAGATTGTTTTTAAAGAAGCTCAAATTGTTCTCTGTCCTGTTTAAAGACAGGGGAGGGGTTTTTTGGAGGGAAGAGGGGAAGGAAAGGAAGCATGTTATAGATAACACCTGAAATAAGCCTTGAATGATTGGCAGAATTTCAATAGCCATTTCACATTTCAACCAGAGGAAGCAACATGAGTAAGCGTAAGACATGCCCATTCTGTAGTTACAAGTCATTAAACCTGGTTGCAGCATAATGAACATTTTAAGGAACTGATAAGAGTAGATTAGAGTGTCACTGTTTATGGCCTTCAGTTTCAGAGAACGAATTTAATTCAGCAGGAAATAAGGAACTTCATGTTTCTCCAGGGAATGGGGAAAGAAATGGCCATGTGTTTTGTTGATGTTTTCTATAAACATTAATTAAAGAAACAATAAACCCCTAATTTCACAAATAATTATTTAATTACAATACTATAATAATTTTGTAAGTATATTTCTTTTGTAAGTATAATGCTCTTGTAAGTTTATTCCACTTTACATTTTCATATTATATTATCATTATATATGTTTGCAGATATTCTTTTTCTTACCAAATGTTAAAATCCAGGAGGTGGGGCCCATGTTCAACCTATCTGTGTGTACTCTGCAGTACTTAGCTAAGAGGCATTAAAAGGTATGTACTGAATGAATGAGCAGTTTAATTAATATCTGTTTCTTGGTGAATTCACTAGAATCAGTTTAAATGGTTTAAGTTGCATATTAGTTTTAATTTGAAAGATTCTTGTTGGAAATTTTGAAAACAGTATTTTAAGTCAATATCTTAGCTCTTTTAAGACTACTGCTTTATCAATATGCTAGAGAAAATATGCTACACTTTTTCATATTTGCTTTGTTGTTATTACAACAGTAATCATGTTCACTGTAGAAACTTGTATGTATTACAGATAAGCAAGAGGAAGAAATCAAAATCCCCATAATCCTAACCTAGAAATAGCCACAGTTACTGTTTTAGAGGAATTGATGATGCAGTCTACATGCATGTTTTTAAGTTTTTAATATGCATGGCTAATATGCCCTTTAGAAAGACTGAACTGTTTTATACTCCTCTTAGAGGTATGGAGAATGATCTTCACTTATGCCAACACCATGATAATTAATAATATTAATCCTGGCAAAATGGGATGAGGAAAATAGTTCCTTTACAAATGTGCCTTTCTTCAAATGCTAATTAAGTCGAATATTTGTTCATGAATTTATTGACCTTTTACATTTCTTTTGTGGTCTCGGTCTCTCTCTCTCTCTCTCTCTCTCTCCCTATTTTTCTACTTGGGAATTTCTCTCCCTCTATAATTATTTTTGAGAACTGAATGCATGTTAATAAACAATATCCCTAGTCAGCCCCTTGTCTTTTATCATATTTCCCGTCAGCATCACTGATCTCTAGGAAGAGGGTCTAATAAACTAAATGAAAGTCACATTTGTGATTCCCCTCCTCCTCTCATTTCTAAACTGAGTATCACTAGCTAGAATGTCTTCCAGGAATGGAGCAAATATAAAAGGAACTAGTGGCACATTTATTTCTCTATGAGGAAAATTTTCAGAAACAAGGATAAAACTAGAATTTGGAATTAAAAGATGCCCTAACCTACTTTTGACAATTACTAAGAATTTAGAACTATCACGAACGCTTTCTTTTTACTCTTAAGAATTTCACACGTAGTACTGGCCTAAAGAAGGACATAATGGGAAGTGCGTGCGATGACAAGTCAGCTTTGGTAATTACAGTTAACAGTAAGGTCTGTTCATCCACTACTGATGCATTGAAGTATTTCCATGGATATGTGTGGAAGTCATGTATGGCTGTGCCCCGTAAATTCAATAAAGAATGAATACTTTTATGGTTTGGTAGCTAAGAAGTTAGCTGGGGGCAATGCTGAAATTCTTTCTTCTTGAAAAATGGAAACTATGTAGGGGAGGAAAGTGAAAGAAATTATAAAAGGGAAAAAGAAAAGCTGCCTGGAAGTACAGAACTACAGAAAAAAAGAAAGGGGGAAAAAAGAGATGTTAAACAGAAGACCTTGAGAAGTGAGGCTTAGAAGAAAAATGTTCTTTAAATTTATTCTACCCAAATTATCAAAATATGGTACAACATTCATTTTAAATTGTTCAGTTTATGTGAGGCATTACAAATATGGAACTACTTTTAATGCTTTAAATGGAATTTATTGTTCATTTGACATAAAAATAGTTAAATTTTGTCTTCCATGGGRCATAAATGTCAAAAGCAGTTTGTGCTTGTAAATCTTTTAAATGTTAAGTACACAAAGAAAGGGAGAGAGAGGGAGTGGGGGCGGTTGCTAAACTGGGTATTAGAAGCACTGGAAGCTATTTGTTGGAATTTAGAGTCCTGTCAGACTCCTCTATTATTTTCAGGTATTTGTTCACCAGTGGTAGTTTCAAAAGCAAGCAGAAAGTCTGATCATTTATAATTATATTTGGCTTAGATAAATAAAAGGTGTTTGGTTAATGGCTCTTTCTACCCAAAGTCAGTTTAAACTTCAATAAAAAGAATTGGATAAAACTCCAAAACCTAGGGATACAAGTTGTGATCATGAAACCAGTCTAGATTCCAACCCTTTCCTGAGAGAAAAATAGGTAAATCTTTAGTCATCTAGGGATGTTGGTGTATCTGGGAACTAAGTAAGCATCAGATAATAATAATTTCAAATTTTATTTTTTCATTTCTCACTCTTCCAAAACTTAGTTTGGTTCCATGTTATGAATGAGCAAAGGAGCATTTTGAGATAGAAACAAAAATATAGGTTGTGAAATTATTAAAACACCTATGAGATAATGCTAAAATTAAGATGATTTATTTGTATTAAGACATAAACTAGAGACAAAATTGTGAGCTTCCTATTAGGTAGTTTTAAGACCTTATTTTAAATATCGTCAATCAATTAAATATAGGTAGGTGAATTTACAAGTGTGAGGAAAAACAAAACCCTAATGTTCTTGGTTCAACTCAGTAGCAGATACATAAAACAGAATTACTAGGGAGAAAAAAATTTGAATAAGAATAATGCTTTAAAACAATAAGAAATGACCACCAAATGCCTAATGAAAAAGCTTGTGAATCACGGTTTTCAAGTGGCCCTTKGAGCTGACTGACTTGTGGTAGCTTCTGTCCTTGGCTTCTTTCCACAGTCAACCAAAAATGAGAAATAAGATCATATGAGAAGGAAACATCTCAGGCGATTTTAAGTCCTGACATACAAACATAGTTTGGATCACTATGGATGTAAATACTAAAACTGCAAGTATTTTAATTAGAATCAAAGGCTTAAAAACCACTAGTTAACACTTGCAGTTAATGGGTTCACTCTAATGAAGTGAAAATGAGCTGGCTTTTAAATTTTTTCTTAACATTTTAGTTTTTTGTAMGCCTGATTTCACTTATTCCCTGATTTGTGAACCCTGAAATGTGAAACTTATTTCTGTGGTGCAAAGGTAACTTTTAAGCTTAATGGTTTTCACTATTATAAATAAAATACAATTTATTTTCCCAACTGCGCCAATAACTAAAAACATTAAACCAAATGTCTACCATCAACGTATATACACCTCCAAATATATATATATGTGTGTGTCATATATATGTACTATATATATCTATATAATATCTACATACTCCTACACAAACACACAGAGAGATTCGCAGAAAAATACCGCCTTCCATATTCAGAGATCTCAAAGAGTTTGAAGACCAAGATTTGTAGCCCCAATCTATAGAAAGATATGATATTTTTAAAATCACAAAATACTTTGTGACTTCTGAGACAAATTAAGCCACACGAACCTATATACACATGGGCATGATTAGAAGACAGGCAGATTCTCTTGATTAACTTTATATAAACTCCTGACATAAAAGTGAAAAATGAAACATAAACSATACCCCTTTTTAGCTCAACTGTTAAAAAGCCAATTATCCGCCTGTAAATTTATGCTACATATAATACTTCAAAGACACTTCTTCACAACCAGAAGTGAGAAACTAAGCATCTGCATTCATCCGTCATTCTATCGGTGAAACTGCTAATAAAACGCAAACCTGAATGACATTATTCCCAGGTCTAAGGCAACATTGTTGTAATTAAGGAAAACCTGTGCATGAGTTGGCTGAGTACTGTCTTGCGGAGTCCTTCGTCCTCACCGAGTGGGAGGGTCACACTGAGAGAGACTAATAAGGGCAGAGATGCGTCCCCCTTCCCCACTCACAGGGAGCTCACTCGGGCCACTCCTCGGCGGTGCGGCAGCCCTGTCCGGACTCCACTGCGCCTCAGAGGGGCTCAAACACAAATTCAAGGTAAGCTGCGCAGCTTTGCGACCGGCCCTTTCACTTGATCTCTCTCACACATGCCCGGTCTGTGTCATCTGCTCGTGTATCTGGTCATTTGCGTGAACCTGCTTCTCAAGAAAACATAAAAACTGCTACATATGTAAATATGTTTCGGTGGATAAATATGCATACCTGCAATTTATGCATTCCCATAGGTAGTTCAATGATGGAATCAAAAAAAGGTCCGATTCCATATGGCCACTTTAATATGCTACCTATAATGTGCATCGCGTTCTTATGTTCACATAATGCAGGCTTTATGCGTTACACTTTAGTTCTAGGTGGTTTTTTTTTTTTTTTCTGGCTATGTGTGATTGTGAAGCAGAACTATGAGCCATGCTGATGCGGGAGAAAATAGACATCAAATTAAAAAAAAAATCTGCGGGGATAAAGCCATAGAACGAATAATCCCAATATAAATTCACGCTGCTAGAGCTTTATTTTGATCTACGCCTAGAGATGTTATCCAGTTGAGAGGTGTAAGCTAGCAGAAGCGAGGTTCCGGTGCCCTGCTCACTGGCCGGGTTACCTATTCGGACATGCGGGCATTTCTCCCAAGTGCGGCTTCAGCTGGGCGGCAGGGGCGGCAGGGGGTTGGGGATCCAGGGCTCCAGCCACCCCAGCCCCCGCTTGCCCCGTGCGTCCGAYCCTGCTCCTTAATTACCCTGCAGCACACGCAGGGCCGCGGGACCCAGCGCCGCCGCTGCCGTCCTCGTTGCCGCGTCCGCCGCCGTCGCCGCCGCCGCCGCGGGAAGGTCCCGGTGCGGGCGCCGGGAGAACCGCCCAGCCTCGGCCGCCTCGGCCGCCTCGGCTGCGAGCATCCAGCCGCCACCGCCGTCAACGCGTCCGCGCCGCCGCCACCGCTGCCGTGAGAAGGGAGGCGGCGCCGCGCAGCCCAGCTAGGGCGCTGCAGGGTCCCGAAGAAGTTTGTTGGCCCGGAACCAAGCACGCSACCCGGCACGCTAGCTCGTTTGAAGCAGGCGGGCGTGTAAGCAAAACCCGCCCCGTAGAGATTATTGAGGGAGCTCGAAGTAGGAGACTGGGTGGGCAGATGGGCGGATGGACAAGCCGAGTTATACACTCAGCCCCCAAAGAGCTGTATTTCCTGGAGGTAGAAAGGAAGAACGTTTTGCCAGCTTCAGGGGACAGTGAACTCGGAACCAAAAGAAGGTGGCGTAAAATGTTGAAAATACAGTTTAAATAGGACCATCCAGGAATTTCTGTGGCTCGAGAACACCCACAGCTTGTGGGCGGGAAAATGGAAAGGTAGCGGAAATAAATTGTGCTCACACTTCMCGCCATCCCCGGGACCCTACTACACCCAATCCCAAGACAACTTAGTTCCCCTCTTCTGCTTGGAGAAGTCTGAGGAGGAGAAAGATGTGAGGATGGTAGGGGCATTGAGTGGAGTTTTACTTTTAGGTCTGCCTGATTTGGAGTGGGTGAAATAAGCCCCTCCAACCCCTATCCTCCACCCCTACAGAGGAAAAAAAAAATAAGAAAACAATGGTATCTCTCTCTCCTTACAAATCAAGTACTTCTTTAAGAGGTTAAAGAGAAAACCCTGCTGATACACATGGTCTTTCAAGATCTTCCAGCTAGTAGGTGAGCCAAACCCGTAGGACAAAGTAGACATCTTTGATGTGACCCAGAGATGTGTAGGTGTTCAGGTGATGCAAAATGTAAATGCCCGTTCTGGAGAAGGCTGATGAGTTCTTAAGGTAGGAATATCTCTTTAAGGTGGAAAAAATGAGGTAGGCCCCGTGATTATAAAATAATTCTCTCCTAGGGGATAGAAAATGTAGAAGGTCACTGACAGGTGCTTGCATGAGGTTTTGTCCAGGCTCAAAGTGGTGGTGGTGCGCAGCGTGGGGAGGGAGAAGTGAGGTTTCCTGGAAAAGGAGGGAAAAGATGTGGCAATAGAAGAGAGTGAGTCTGATGTGGGTAGATAACAGAAATGTCAAAGAAAACTGAATGTGATTGTCTCTGATTCAGAATCATTCCAAGGGAACTATCCAAAATAGATGAAAGCCTGTGGTATTCTCTAGAAATGGAAATTTTCCATCTACTTTCTAGTTCTCCAGTGTAATCTTGTCTGATGCAATTTTAKTTCATTTTCTGAGACAGCAGAAATGCTCAGTGGGTACAGAGTGGTTCTAGATGTGAAAGATATGGAGATAAAAAACTACAATGGTGTGGTTAATTGACATCGTAAATGCAAGTTCTAGTGAAAAATGGAAAATAACATAAATACAAGGAAGCAGGGGGTATAGAGATGTCCTGAAAGGAAACTAGAACCAACAGAATCAGTGAGACCAGAGTGGGGTGGCTTGAGGCCAGCCATGTTGAAGACATGTATCTTAAGATAGGAGAAGGAGAATAATGGGGCTTAGCAGAAGACAGCAAGCAGGGAGAGCATTCCAGCCAGAAAGAATGGCATGTGTGAAGGCTTAGAGGTGGGAGCTAGCAGTCATGTGCCTGGTAAGAGAGAATCCAAGCTAGGGTGAAACCTGAGAAGAGCAGAGCTGATGGCACCTGCCAAGGACAAGCTAAGAGGCAATGGGCTCTTTAGGGTGTTATTGTGTAGGCCATAATAAGATAATGAGGTGAAAAAGTTGCATATTGGCTATGATAGAAAGATGGTGGATTTAAGAATGGACCAATCTRTGCATTTCTTATCCATGCATAGTTTATGAATGGTAAAGATTCTCTGATCCCTCTCCTTGAGAGAATTCAGATAGTCATGAGGTTGTATGAATTTTAGAAAGCTAGTAGAGTCCTACAAATAGAAAAAATCTAGAAAAGTAGATGAATTAGGAAAATTATACAATGTTGATTTAAAAATTTAGATGACATTGGGTTGTTGATAAAGCCATGGAAAACAGGACAGGTCAACTGCAATCAGAAAAAATGTAGGTCAGCTGTGATGGTTGAAACTGAGCATAAGAAAAGTTGGTAGAGACAACTATAGTTCAGAGAAGTAAGTTAATTAAATAGACATGTTGTTGAGAATGGAGAGACCTGGCTGAATATACTCAAAGGGAACCTGAGGTTTGAGACCATCTTGGAAGTAAGCACTAGTTTTGAAGTGGAGAAATCATGTAGGATCTTGAAGGAATGTGATAGAGTCACATACATAGTCAGTTTAGGAGAAATAAAAATGTTGGGAACAAGGGAATATGATTTCTATGGGGGCAAAGAGCAACTTCAATAGTAGTTTTTTTCTCTCTATTTTTTTGTCCTATTGAATGACTCAAATTATATTCTCTGAGTCTTCTTTTAGTAATTTTCCTACACTTCCCTATAATTCTTTACCTATACTTCTCTATAATTCTATATCCTTTTACAGATGTTAAATTCATATCTGGATATATTAGCCATTCTTAATCTTTAATTTTTGTCCAAATATATCATTTTAGACTATAGTMATTTCTACAAACAGATCACATGATCACCTAATAAATGCTAAGTTTTAAAAAGATACATGAGTGAAATGATATCTTTTTTTTTTTGAGATGTTCAATATGGAATAGAGTCAGAAGGCAAACAAGTTATTCTTGTAGTCTGCACTGTGCTGAGGCAGAATGATACAGAGTTGTGTGGTAAATCAGTCCTGTGATGATTCTCACAGATTTCAAAAAGGACATGGCATTTGAACTGAGCTTTGAAAGCAGAGGAAGAGTTCCCAGATGCAGAGATGATTGGAAGGACATTCTGGCCATCCAAAAGAGTACACGGAGTTTGGTGGTACTTTGTGGGTATTGTGAATGGTTTGATGGAGTAGAGTTTGTTTGGAAAGAGGTAGGAGAACATGAGGCTGGGTAGATGAGTAGAGGAAAGTACTTTGAGTAGGTGATGAAAARCCACCAGAAAACTTTGAGGAGGACACTAAAGTGAGTAGATATTTGTTTTATTAATAAACTCTTCAGCATTTGGGAGCTGGAAATAAGCCAAATGAATTGAGGAAAGGAGTTGAGTTTTGCAGTTTTCAAGACTGGAAATGGTAAAAAAAAAAAAAAAAGTGAGCAAAGGCTATTTCATCAAGGATAAGAGAGTCTGTGTGGCCTCCAAAGACATTTTGTGAGTAGATTTGATAGACACTGGTAGAGATATGACAGGGAGGTGGTAAACAACTAATTAATGATGATTTTGAAATTTCTTACTTGTGTTCCTAAGTTGATGATGATGCTTGCAACTAAAGTATGAAGGTTCAGAGTTTTCTGTAGAATACAATAAGGGGAAACCTTGCTAAGTTGCTGAATTTTCTGTAAATTTACTTCATTATTCCAATAACATTGTATATTAATGATAGACCTAGATCTAAACTCTTGGGGATATTTGTCTAATTATTAATATAGGTTTTTAATGTTCTATGTGTGGCTTTCCAGTTGACTTGTGCTAATAATTTATATATTCTACTATAGCTTCACTAAAGAGAGTCTGGATTGGTGAATGAACAGATGTGTAACACCTGTTGTTTTGCTTATTTACACAATGCCTCACTTCATAACAGTATGACAAGAGACAAGATTTTCCTGATGGGGTTATGTATAGGCACACTTCAGAATAGTCAAAAAGGTTTGATTTTAAAATTGAGCCCATACTCAATTATATAGCATTTCCCTTTAGAAAGAATACTCTGAAAACATGTATTCTTTCAGTCATTTAGCAAAATTTTCAAAGTTGAAATGTTGTGTTTATAGCCTAGATAAAAGAGTCAGCATTCTTTTTTTTWAATTTTCTCCTTCTTTTCTCACATTTGTCTTCTCCTTGTTATTTTCTATTTTGCAAGCTATAATGCTCTTTCAGGCTCTAATCCTCTGACTCTTTAACTAATACAAAATTTCAAAAATGCGGGATGAACATTAAAAAAATGTTAAATGGAATAACAGTGAAATTATTCATGTTTCAAAGGTAGATTTCATTTGGTTTACTCAAGTGCTTACTGAGATGGCCATTTTATCTAG